CACGGATTTAGGTCATGTGCGTCTGACCGCATGACGGGACCCCTGCCTCCTGAAGAGCCCCCTGGGCCCTGGGGAGGACCCTGAGCTGCCCTGGTGCTGTGGCACTTCTGCCCGCGCTGCCCCCCACCTGTCCCCCAGGAAGGTCCACCTGGGAGACTCAGGGAAGCCCTTGTCCACCCTTCCTGCAGCTCGTCTTCTGCACAGCGAAGAAGTTTGCAGGCCGCGTGGAAACCAGGTGGGCAGCAGGGCTGCTGGGCAGCAGTGGGGCAGAGAGGCGGCTCCAGAGCCGGCTGCGAGCTCTCCTAGGATCTGGGTCCGAGAGGCAGACTGCCGAGTTTGGATTCGGACAGCTCTCTCAGTGCCAGAATTGGGTTGGGGAGATAGCTCGGTGGAAGAAGTGCCTGCTGTAAGTGCCAGAGTTGATAGCAGAAACTTGTGTAGAGTCAATAATTGAAATCTGGAGACAACGCAGGCGCTGAAGACGCCAAAAGTAAGCTTGTGGGAGGCAGGGTAAGGCAGGCTGACCGTTATGGTTAGGGTCTAGTTGTGCCCCCAACGCCTCATGTGCTTACTCCCTGGAGCTGTCTCACTGCCTACATTTTCATTTTCACTGACACACGTCTGTTTTTAAGGTTAGTCCTAAGAGACAGTCAGTGAAGTCCTTTCTCAGACGGGGATAAGAATCTGCACAGCACTTAGTGAGTATGTCACTGTATACGTGGCCTGAAGGAGGGTCACTTTGAGTTTAAGACCAGCCTGGGGTTTGGTGAGATACATCAGCAGCCTAAAGCGCCTCTTAGGCAAGTGCGCAGGGACCACAGTTTGATCCCGGGCACCACATATGCTGCCAGCCCCACGCCTAGAGTGGGCTGAGGCTGCCACAAAAAAAAAAAAAAAAAAAAAAAAGACCAGGATGGGGGCTACAAAAGTGAACACAACACAATACCAAAACTACATACTGAGACCCTGTATTTTAAAGAAAATGAATGCTTGTTGTGTGTTCCTGCGTTTGGTTAGCCCTGCAGGTGTGTATGAGGTGTGTGTGCCTTCTGAGCGTATATGCATACTATGCACATGCATGTGCTTGGAGTATCTGTGAGAGACTACAGGTGTGAGACCGCACACGAGCTCTCTGGGGGTCTGTATGTACTGCTGGTGTGTGCTTGGTGTGCGTGCACAGCGCTGTGCCTTTCAGAGAGAGGCGTGTGTGTGTGTGTGTGTGTGT